TAAGATTGACACACGATTGTTTACTTTGATCTGATGTACTCGTCGAACGTTTAAAAATGTTTCGATGCTGGAAATCAGAAATACTTTGACAAAGGTCATAGGGCTAGGTATAATCCACAAGGTCTCTCTGACACTCCGACCGTGTTGAAAAAACAAGATCGAGCCTATACTATAAAGCTAAAGGAGACTACAACTAAGCAGACGACCACATCATCTTGGTCTTAATATATACGATCTACTGTTCCTTAGATTTGTTTATGTAAGCAGTTATATTCAAACTGAAATAGAACTTAACAATCATCAAAATTGCTAATTCTATTCCATACAAGCAAGATTTTCACATTTTTATCTAAGGCCAATTCACACACGTAGCAAGAGAAGTTGTGGCCTCTTCGCTAGATAACAGTGTTTGTTGAACGCAAAAAATATCAAATTAGAATACTAGGAATCTTTATGAAGACATGTTATTCAAAAAGTTGCCATATATAGACATTTATTCTGTTGATAAGATCTTCATTTTTAAGAAAAAGTTAGTTGGAAGAAACTCGTGAATTGGTCTTATTGGAAACCTAAGAATTGAATGCCTTGTGTGAAGAGTGTTGAATTGAACAAATAAGCCCTGGGTTAACCGAGAAATCATACCTTACTGTGCATTACAAGTAGTTGCACGTGGAAAAGATGAAAAGAAGCTGACAGGGAGTGGATTAAAATGACTGAGGACCACATGAACTGAATAAGAAAAAAAAGATGAATGCATATAAAGTAAAGCTTTGATAAATGCCAAAAAAAACAACTCGAACTCATGCTTAAGATCTTAATTGCAATAAAACTGACAAGCCAATGGTGATATTAACATTATATGCCGATAAATTATTAAAGAATAGGCGGAATATCCTAAGGAAATTATCCTCAGTTTGTTCAGGGTACGCGGGCTTAATCGAGGAGAGAGTGTGTGAAGATAATGTCTAATATCCGCAGGCATGGGAATCAGAGCCTAGGCGCTCTGAAGATTAGGCGACTTTGTATGTGCTACTGGTGGCTTAAGAAACAGCAGCTAGATTAAAAGTACGCTGGGGCTGGAACCGAATGAAATCAATTAGCCATAAAGATAAGAAACGGACCTACAGGTCAATGAAGCAGATCCGGACAGGAGACTAGACCAGGATCAGCCACTCGAAAGGGAGAGGAGCAAGGCAAACAGCAGGTGTGATGACGCCACGGTAATTCTCAAAAATGGCATATCTCTTGTGGAATATAAACATGCCTGAAATTGTGATAGGGCGAGGGCGAGACTAGAGGGTTGGAAATTGATAGAAGGACCAGGACAAAACGAGGAGTGATAGCACAACCGTCTCGACAGAAAGTTAGTCACTTGTCTCTTTGACTAGTTGTAGTTGGACTTCGGACAAGGTGCGTTCCTCTAGGTTTTCCTGCTAATATGACCAAGTTGCGAAACCAAGGTCAAACAACTTCTATACAACGAAAGGAGACCTCGACCATACAAAAGGCCACACTATTCTGGTCCTCATATCGTCGATTAACCAAAGTTACTTATGGATTTACGCTATTTCGATCATATCCTTTCTGTAGCCGTAATTAGGCTCTTTTTTAATTGCTCTGAGATATTGCTGATATTGCGTACAGATATTAACACGCACACTATTATATAAGAGAATTAGCCAAATCATTATATATCCATCTTTATCTAAATATTTTTTTCATTATAAGTTTACATAGCATTTCGGATAGATCCAGTCAGTCTTCTTGACTTTGTTAACTTTATAACTACAAAAATGAGTTCCATCTCGGATAATGTTCGTTATATGATGAATCAAAGCTCAGTCCGTTTCCACCCGAAACTAGGGAGGATTTCTCGTGTACTACGTCAACCTGAATGTCGTATCAATGCTAAACGGCCTTAGAACTACGGTGATCAGCCTGTCTTTCTATGAATCCCTTCATCATGCGCTTTCATATGAAATGAAGTTCTTCACAATTATCTTGTTTAGCCTTGCTGAAAAATTTTGCTTGATGCTTTCCATAAGACATTCTCCTTCGATTTCGGACGTGTCGAAACTATAATCAGGAATATTAGAGTTCGATTCCCGCTGGAGATCCTGATAAGATCTAAGCGAGGTCGAAATTGCAGCCCACCCTGGATGAGAATACCTTTTTGATATGTGAAATTCAATCTAAATGAGAGGCCTACTCATTTCACTGTCATAATATTCAACTACCAATCCTTCATCACGTTAAACAAAATGAGAGGAATATGTCTCATATATACGAATTTTATCCATTCCTTCTACTAAGTCTCCCGCTATGTCTTAGAACTTAAGAAAATATAATCGAGGTTGTCAGGGGAACAGATCTTCTAATCAGGGTTATAGTTTTACTCGGGTTATGTAATTTGACCAAACTTTCTTTTAGTCTAGGTTTAGCTGCATCGATACATAAACCAGTTCACTATTAATGAAAATAGGTACTATACCTATGTACTAGATTATGTGGAATGATAGGGCGGCAGTGGGATAAAAAGGAAAAGAGTATATAGATAGGATGGGACAGAAAGAGGAGTAATAGTGTAACCGTTTTCAGCAGAACGCTTGTCGAGGGATTGACTTCACTTGCCTCTGAAGTGTTCGTAGCTTGGTACCGAGAATGACAAAACTCACTGATGATGCTGGCGAAACGTTTGAGAATGTACCAAGTCCACTGTTTGTTGCTTGGAGTTATGACAAGTACTATGACAGACAACTTCGAACTAGGTGTGTTCTACTAAGTTGACCTGACAACAAGACCCAGTTGTGACGAGGTCAGCCCACTTCTTTAGTTAATATTGTTATGATCCACTAAAAGAATATCATTCAAATAACCCTGCTCTCTTTTGCACTTGCGAAAAATGGTCACCGTAATTCATATCTACCATTGCCTGTCTTCACATGTTGTAAGCTTTTCGATGCCTTTAAAATGAACCTACTTATTACATTGCTTTATCTTTTTAGATATATTCGATTCCTTAACCACTTTGCTGCCATCTCCTACGGAGCCCCGGTTCTAGCCAATTTGGTTCTTTTACCTTGCCAACAGATCTGCCATGTCAAATATCGTCGAGCCCTCTGGGGTGAGCATCAGACTTGCCTCCAAAGCATAAGAATCGCTCCTAACCAGGTTAGCTCATTTTCTTAATCT